ACCGGTCACGAAAAAGACAAAAAAAAAAAAAAAAAAAGAAACTCCGGGCTCAGCAGCATCCAAAGCAGCAATTCTTATGACCCTTCACAGCTTAATTAATCCTGGGATGGGTGGATGCTTGTTCCAAATGCAGAGTTCTAGGTCTCCAGAGATTATCTCAGTAGGCCCAGGATAAGATCCAGGAAATCGCTTTAGAATCACAAGTCATTCTGATGCAGGTGAATGAGAGAGCCCTAAGAGGAACACAGATCTGAAGAAAAGTGCACTATGAAGGACTCAGGTAGGAGAAGAGGCAGTCATGGCCAGGAAGCCAAAGGACCTTTGAGAAAATATATGTAAAACATATTAAAAGCACACTGTGATATATAACAAGAAGTTCTCTACCCTGCCTGCATATTAGCTAGGATCACCTCTGGGGAGCTTTTAGAACATACTAGTGTGGGAATTTCGTCATAGTGGTGGTAAACCTCCCTCTTCAGCATTACACAGATAAACTGCAACCTTCAAATTATCTGTTTGTAGAGAAAAAAATTCTAACAGTGCCCACCACAGGCCTGCAGCAGCCACCACAAACCACGGGTGCCGAAATCAGGGGAGAGGAGTCTCAAGGTTTGGGAAGAGTAGAGGGGAGTGGAGGATTTAGAGAAAAAACAGACAAAATTATCCCCCAAATATATATACAATGATAATGAACACAGATGAGGACTTGGTGGTTCAGAGCCCTGGCCAGAGAGAGGGTGCCTGAAAGTGTGCAGGACCAGAGGGGCAGACTTGGAGAAGTTGTGTTTCTGGGGGAGAATCAGATATATGGAGGAAAGGTGGTCCTGGGAGACAGACAATGAAAGAAAAGAGGAAGTAAGAGAACAAAATTCAGGATCCTGCAGAAAACAGGAACAAGACACATCAGCTCTTTCCCTCCTCTCCCTGCCCTACCATCATCCATGAAAGAAACAGCATAGAAAAGAGAACTACCAGAAGAATGTGCTCTTAGCTAGGCACCATGCCCACAGAATAAGCAGGAACGGAAACAAGCAGACCACTTCCATGGAGAATAGCTGCTGAAAGTCAGAAGTTGCATATAAATTTCTCTGCTGGTGAAGTCTCCTCTATAAAATCATGAAGTAGAAGAAAATTGTAACACAACACTTGATATTAATGAAATATTCTCCAACATGCACCTGGGGATATAGAAAATACGCTGAATCCGAAATACAAAAACTAGGTAATCAACAAAAAAATACAAGGAAATGAAATGACAGCTAATAGAACTCAAAGAAAAAAAGTAGATGAAAATCACAAAACTGTATCAGTAATAAAGAACAGATTCCAAGATACCCAAAGGAGAATGGGTTCAAATAAAAACTGAATAGAGGGTACAGAGAATAAAAGAAAAAACAAAAACAACCAAGAAAATGAAAACAAATTAAAATA